CTGAAAGAAAATCCTTTCTAAATGACTGTGAGCGCATTGTAACTCTGACCTTAATTTTAAAGAAAATACACTAAAGGAATTCCTGTAATATTATAAAACTTACATTTGGAAAAAATGTGAGAACAAACGTTTTCTGTTGTAAAGTAAACTAAAAAAATTGGACTATATGGCCACCCTATTGGTTATAAGAGTATTTAAAAAGTTACAGACAACCTATTAGCTCTCGAGCCAGGGCACAAAAGTGGCCTTATCACAGGCGAAGGTTTAACATCACATGAAAGTGTATATTATTTGAAGTAAATGAATATTGTCTGCCATTCCCGAGCCACTCCTTTCAAACACGGCACCTGATTAAAAGAATATTAGAGCAACAACTTAGACCAGCAAATAGGAAATATGATATGAAAAATGTGGGAAAAGTTTTAATTTGCATATATGGGTTCAAACATGTAAAAAACAAAAGTGCTAACATGCGGCGCTGAGGAAAAACTACAGCCAAAAAAGCCAGAATTTAAAAAAAAAAAAATGTTTTTCAGCTATAAATTTCAAACGAAGCATCGAAGCAGACAACGTACTTGTAAAACTAGTACCTATGCTTAATAATTTGATTAAGTGGTATGGTAGAGAACTATGGTCAACGAACACTTATTTTAACTAAATTTGACAAAAACTGAGACAAATCATTAAATGGCTCTGTTGCTTGAAATTACTTTCTTAAGAAATAAAACACAAAGAAAAGACATTTTACTTAAAATAACATACACTTTCATAATTTACATTCAAACTTTCGCCTACAATGAAGTCAAGTTTAGGGCCCTGGCGCCAGGGTCATATAGCTTGCTGCTATGTGTGATCTTTAATGACTGGATGGGAAAACAGTGATTTCTACGAAAATTATAGTTCTTCACCATGTTTATATCTTTCATGTATCATGTTTGTGTAAATTTTTCTTTCAATGAATCTTGTGGATATCCACACCAGAAGGATATCAATCCTCCCCCTCCCCAATAATATGAAAACGAAAAAAGATGGGAAACTTGATATCCTTCTTTTAACTGCTAAAATTCAGATAAAACAGTTTATTCAAGGAGTTAGTTACTAACATCTAAATCCAGTATCAATATCTATTAAGTTAAGAAATAGGGATTTAATTGAAATCATGATGTTTCAATAGTAAAGAAAATTATTGTTGTTTTTAAACATTTGCAGTAGTAGGTAAATGGTAAGTTCAGATCTAAAGAGTTGAATTAAAATATTTTATAAAATAGTTGAGAAAACTAAAATATTTAATATAGTTGAGGAATCTAGGCAAAATTATTGGAAAATTTTAGATTTTGCCTGTGTTTATAAGAATCTAAGTAGGCGTGCAACATAAGAAGCACCAAATTAGTTAAGCCGATAGTTTTATAATTCAGGTTCTCAACCAAACCTGAAATAATACACATAACAATAACACATAATATTGAAAATTAAAAATAAATAAGGAATTAATGATGTGTATGAATAATATCTAAAATAAATAACTATAAAAAAAATAATAAAATATATAAAATGTAATTCAACAGAAAATAACATTGTACAAACTTTGTTTCACATCAGATTTAGTACTTATTTTCTTTCTTTTTTTTTTTCTTTTTTATTAAGCTTAGATGTTTATAATAAACACATTTCAGTAATATTATTGCTCATTCATTACAAATATATTCAAATGAAATAAAAAAAAACAACAACATGTAATAACAAAACCATTTTTTAGAATTGATTTTGAAAAATAAATGAAATTTATTTTTAACATTATGATAAAAATACACACACATTAACAAAAAGATTTATAGATAGATATGTTTGTACTATTTCTATTTTAAAATAAAAAAAATTAAACAAAAACTCTTTATTACCCTAAATCTTAAGCTTAGACCTTCAAAAATGGCAATGACAATAATACTAATACTAAATTTTACAAATAATAATAACACTAATAATAAAACTGATGTGGTGTATTAAGCAGTTAGTTCTTACTAAATGAATGAAACCAAAAAAAAAAAAAAAAAAAAGAAAAGAAAGAAATAGTGACTTATGCCAATTAACCTGATTAATAAATAAACTTTACTTATAAAATAATACACAATGCATAAATTAAATATATTTGAATTAATTAAAATAAATTGTATTACAGCTGATAAGAAGCCTTGGTAGCATATCAAATAATATTGGAAGATGTATGAGAAAGGAGATAAATAATAAACATGTGTAACTTAAACAATCTATCTCACAATTCAATAAAACTAAATTAAATTATTGGGAATATAATAGTATCTCCATTCAGTAGTAAAAACCAAATCTATAAACAAATCACACATACACAGTTAAGAATGTGATTAAATCTTATTCATTTTTTTTTTTTAAAGCTCGTATTCTGTTGAAAGGGATGTTACAATTTTGTTTTAGAAAATTCTCAGAAATGTATAACTCAAATAAATCAACTATTAAGGTATCACTCAAAGGCATGTACCACGTAAGATAACTATAAAAATGAGATAAAGGGTAATAAAGAGTTTAGTAATTAGTGAAGAAAATAAATGAATTTATATAACATCAACTCTCAGACTGTTTCAATAACAAATTAGAGTAATGAACAAAAATGAAATATGTGTTTTCCACAACTACACATTTCTGAGGTCCCTGAGTTTTGATCCATAATTATCATTTACACTGATCAGTCCCTTATATATAGATTTTAATAAAATATTATCTGAACAGAATATTGTGTGATGCTAAAGAAATATCACATTAGTTTCTTTAGGGTTAAATGAACTTAAGTAGAGGACGTTCTGCTAACATTTTATACAGGCACTTTTTAGTAATTAGATTATTAACACAATGTTCCATAGTTTACAATGTTTGGCGCTAAAAAAAAAGAAAATTATATTACATTGGATTTTATGTTAATATTGTTTTCCTTTTTTATAAAATACACAATAAAGCAAATTATTGTAAGTTATGTATGTATGATTTGTGGATCTATTTGTGTTCACCAATGTGTTTGGTGGTTTTCAATTATTTTTTAAACAAATAATAATAAATTATTAATAACTAACTGTGCAGCTATACAAATCCAATATTCAATACACAGAGGTATAGAGAAACAGTTTAGCAATAATTATAACAAAAAAAATTTCAGTTAAGCATAGTACCAATAATATTTATTGTACAATCAGCTTATGTTACGCTTCGAGTGGTAAGAGAATTAGGAATATCAAGAGTTGTATTTAGTTTTAATGTGGTCTCAAGGTTGCTGATATGTCAACAGTCCAATTAAAATAAACAAACATTAGAATACTATCACCACTAAACAAATTAAATATTAATAAAGCTTGACCCAACTAAAATAGTTCCTAAAAATTAATCAGTAGCTAGCTAGAGATCAAAATAAATGTTTCTTATAATTATAATTAATGAAAAAAATTGCTTCATTAAAACTAATTCTCACTCATACTTCAATAAATAATCATTAAAATAAAAATAAAGAAAAGTAAATAAATTGTTTACATATGGACGTAAAACCACAAATCCAGTATGTATTAATGTGCAAAGAAAAGGCTACTTAATATTGTTACAATTTTAATAATAACTTATTAATCATTTTAAAATATGAAATTAATGACAATGTATTTTACCGAAGGTCTAATATGGACTAGCACTATGTCTACATAGACAAAATGAAAAATATATATCTATAAAAAAAATGTTTTAAAACAATCAGTTTAAACATATTAGGAAAATAATATAATTGTGTAAGCATGAGCATGATCATAAGAGGCACCTGGTCAGCAATAAACTGGTTTATTTTTTTATATAATTAACAAAAATTAATAGACCAACATTTAAGTTATAGAAACTGTTATTTATTCCTTTTTTCTTAAGTATATCAGTGAAAATAAAATTGCATTATATTCTCAAATGCTGAACTAAAATTATTGAAAAGTAACATAAATATCTGAAAATATATTTTTTAAAGAACTATTTCGATTTTCAAAAGCCTGCACAATTATCTAAAGTTTTTTTTTCAAACATTAAGATAAAACAAAACTGTATGTGCATGCTGCATTATAATAAAATGATCTACAAAAATTATTTACTATTTTAAAGTAATTATACATTACACTTTACAAAAAATTAAGAAAAACAAACTATACTTTAAGAACTAAAACAAAAAATAAGTGAAATGATTTGGTTAAAAATATGTATTTATAATACAGTGAAAAATTTAATACTACTTATCAAGGTAAAAAATAAAGTGAAAAATTTCAAAATGCTATATGTACAAAAATAGATTCTAGAACAACCTTTTTAAAAACTTGTGAAATATCTATAGAGTACTCTAAGTATGGCTCAATCATAAATTCAATATGACCCCACTATACACTAATTATACTACAAATTTGCAGTAAAATGAATTACTCGATAATAAAATATACATTTAGTTTTTGGAAAAGAGAAGAAGTCAATATTTACAATAACAATCATTGGGTACATCCCACTACAAATATCTTACATTCTTGTATTCTAATATCCATTAAACCATAAATTTGTATGTACATTTATATATAAATGAACTGATTTTTACAAATAGTGTGTAAAAATCTTACTTCTTCTCTTCACTAAAATATTATATTTACATTGTTAAAACCAATGATTTCTTCTAAATGCTGCTATTTTACATATATTAGATTAAGTATAAAATAAAAAATTTACCTATTTATCACATATCAAATATTTAACTCCTTAATAGGAGAAGATAAATCAATAAACTAAAACAATGCAGGTACAAAGTTTAATAGTCAAATATATAACCTTCAGAACCACTTTAACCATGAAGGGATCTCAGGTTCAGTATTTTAATCTTTATGCATATATATATATATATATATATATATATATATATACACACACACACACATACATATATATGTATGTATGTATAATGAATAAGCTTAATGTCAGTTGTCCATGCTAGCCAATATTTCATCCATTATATTAACCTTAGTCTTAGGAAAGTCAGGTGGAAACTTGTTAGAATTTTTTTTTAAAGAATCGTGTCCTTTACCAACTGTGTTTTCATCTTTTTTATGGCCATCTTTTTTCCTATGTTCATGTTTGTCAGATTCTTTGCGATTATTATGTGAACTAGAACTGCTTTTGTCTTTTGAATGGGTACTATCATGACTGTTTTTACTTTTATCTTTGTTTTGTGAACTATGGTGATGTGAATCTCCTCGGTTTTTATCTTTATTAGGCCCATCCCGATTGCTAGAATTACAATCTGCATTATGCTTTTCTTTAGAATCTACATTAGGTATTGCTGAGGTTTTATACTTTTCTTTGGAAACATCAGGGTTTGGAGTATTATCTAAACTTTCTGATTTTTTGCTTTTTGAATGAACGTCATGTGGACTACTTGAATCTTTACTTTTTTCTTTGTTAATGGCTTCATGACTACTTTTAGGACTTCGATGTTTATCATCCTCCTTTTTGTCACTTTTTTCTTCTTTTACCTTATGATTTTCACGACTTTTATTAGAACTACTATCTTTTCGACGTTCTTTACGCTCATTATCAGTTATTGAATTTGAAACTTTAAGCTTCTTATGATTTGATGAAGCATCATTAGATTGTAATTTTAATTTTCTTTTCAGCTGTTCAAGATTACTGGATGACAATTGTGAATTAGGGGCATCCTCATGTATTCCAATATCTTCTTTTTCATCAGCCTCAACCTTGATTTTTTTTTCCCGAAAAACATGGGAACTAAGTCCAGATACAATACGAGAATGGCGGATGGTTTCATTTTTTTGAGCATCTGGATAGTATTGTGAAAGCCGCACATGCCATGCTGAAAAGAAATAAGAAAAAATTGTTACTATGATGATTAAATGGATGTTGACTATAGATTACATTAAAATTAAAAAAACACTAATTTCACAGAAACAGTCTAATCTTGAGGTGCTTACTGGGAAATAAACATATTCATAATCAAATGAAGTGGATCATTAGAATAAAGGCTTAGAGGTTTCAATATTATTCCAATGGAGCACCTGTTGATTGCTAATATTGATAATGAATAGAATTTCTGTGAGACAAAATTCTAAACATAAACAATATTCCTTATTATTTACATTATAGCATAAATATCATCAGATTGCTTAAACTTTATGTTGTCTTCACTCCCTTTTCCTAAACACTTTTTAAATTTTTTTTTATGATATTAAAGAACGACTGGATAAAGCTTACAACAGCCACTACTACTTCAAAAGTAGGTATTACTTAGAGAAATGTGGCAAGGCTATGAATATAAACATGTGGTAAGTTGTTTTTGTCAATGTTACAAGAGGTTTCTTTGAATATTCACATGGTGGAATACTTCCAAGGTCTATAACAGTACAAGATTTGCATTCAACCTAATTGCCCGACATGTGAATAAATCTCCATCATGTGAGATTAATTAGCATGTACCAGCAAAGACCTATATACAGACAATGTAGAAGTACACCTGAGATCACACCATTAACTGGTTCATATTTAGTTGACATGTCTTGAGAATTACCAGAAGCACTGGCTTTAATAGTATATATTAATATTAATAATCTAGTTAACTTATCTATCACAAATATTCAGGTAAGAACAACAAGTCACCTATATATGCTCAATCCAGCATTGTTAGCTGCACTACACTCAAATGATTTGTTTTCTTTTAGTATTAATTATGAAGAATTGGTTATTTAGAATAATTTTAAAATCCACAAAACAAAATAAATGTTATTAAATACCATATATGCCAATGTTAACAGACAACCAATGCTTTTAATGACATAAAAATAAAGAAATTGAAGAATAAAAGTACTCAGTACCAAAACTGTCTTGTGACTCGCTGATTAGTGGATAATTAAATAAATGTCATAATTTGTTTACTCACCTATACTAGTCACAGCAGAGACAGTACGAAATTGATGAATAATATTTCGAGGAAGAAAATAAATGTCATTGTCACACAACGAAATTCTGGCATATCTGATACCTTCCCGCCTCAGCTGGTTTAACTTAGCATCTTCAATCCACTGGACACACTAAATAAACAAGATATATAATTAAAATAAACAAATACAATACCTTAAATATCAGCTATAAATCTTATAATTGGAAATGAATCATTATAATACTTATAAAATAATTATAAGATCGTTAGGGATATACTATGGTTATTAGAACAGTAACAAATAATACTGCATCATTTTATCAGTTTAGTAGGATTTACATTTCATTGTAGAATTTACTTAAAGAAATCTGATTTTGCACATGTTAACTATATTTTAAAAAATAAGATAAAATTATCACAGATTTTTGAATCGTTTAATGCAAAATCATAGAAGCTCATAATAGATAAAACTATGAGAAATTGCTATGCATATAATTCAAGATTAACAAAGTAATACTGAAAATGCCAGAATGAATTGGGTAATACATTTAGGAGCTCTGTCTGAGATGATTTCTTTAAAAACCAGGAGTGAAAGATGGATAAGATATTCATATGGAGTACCACAACAATATTAAAAACATGAATACCATTGAACTAGATTACACACCCTTGCAGTTTTAAGGACAAACAATCGTTTTCATTATTTAATAATGAAAATTTACGACTGAAATTAAATTTTTTCCAGGAGGATCAGGCTTAATTTTGTTGCCCTTTCTTTCACCCCACCCCTCCTCAATAAAAATCAACAATTTTATAAAAAATATTGTTGCCAATATATTTTAAAATAACCAAAACACACACAAAAAATTATTATTTAACCTAAAGACACAATGTCGTTCAAAATATGATGCCCTCTAAGCCCAAATGCCTCCTTTCTCTCCCTAGTTTAATAGTTGATAATCTCAAGCAAAAAAATACTTTTATTATGTAACCACTATTTATTTAACAAACAGCTTATTATAGCTTGATAAATTATTAAAAAAAAAAAACACCATATGAATCAGGAGGTTGAACAAGACTTTTCCATCCAACAACCTAATGGTAATATATAAATAAAGCCTGATAGCCCTGCAGCAAGGGCCCGAAAATCGACCTGATTAAAGGCGGAGGTTTGAATGTAAATTACGAAAGTTAAACCTTGAATTTTACCTTCTAAGTAAAATAAACCTTGTCTGCCATTCCAGAGCCAATGATTTAAAAAATGGTGGCTGATTTAAAGAATATTAGGCCAGTAACTTGAGGATCAAAACAGGAAATATATTCGAAAAATGTGGGAAAAGTTGTAGTCTGTGGGCCAGACCCCAAAATTTTTCAAGATGCTGCTAAAACGGGGTCAAATGCTGGAGCATCTTTGATGATATTTAGGGATAATGCAGCTTTATTATGGTGAAGACCATTTTATCAGCAAGAAAGATTTTTTCGAAGCAATTGGCAAGTCAGCAGGTCTGGATGAAGTAAACGAGGTTTATTATTGTGAAAACAACTTTATTTTCAATTCCTATTGAAGTTATACATTTGGACTATCTTCACTTTGAAGCAGGTTATAGAGAGGTCTAACGAGAAAGGGAAATAGCTCTCATACTGTTCAGTGCATTAGCATTTTTTTTTTAATAAATAGTTACTACAAGAAACACAAAGATATGAAATTTATAGGGATTTGGGGGAGGGGAGGGGAGGGGGTATTGTTATCTTAATAATTTGTATACATGGTTTCAAGTATGAAAAAAACTAAATCCCTTATGCGAGCACCAAGGAAAAACTTTTTACAGCTGAAAAAGGATAATAATTTTTCTATATGGGGTGGGCTGGCTGTACGGGCTAAGGCGCTTAGGTAGGTAACCAAGTTAAGCAATGCCTTATAGTTAGCACTTGGATGGGTGACCACCCGATTTGGGTGGTCATCAACCAGGGAAAGCCATGCTGCCCGAGATTCCCCTTTCCGGGGTATGTGAGGCCCGTCAGGCTACTGGAGGCAACTCACACCGACCGGGCGTATGACTAATGACCCTACCCCCCGTGTACTTAAATCATGAATCGGGATGTGGTCTAGAAGATCACATCTCGCAGTCAAGATCTTCATGGTCTGTAGCGCCAAACGAAAGGAAAAAAAATATATATATACATTTTTTCACCTATAACTCCTAAGCAAAGCGGAAAATGTACTCTTTAATTAAAGAACATTAATTTGTCAGTCAACGAGTACCTAAACTTAATAGTTTGGTTAATTGATACATAGAAAACCACTGTCAAAGGAATGCTGATTTTTACCAAGTTTGTCAAAAACTCAGACAAATTACTCTAAATGGTCATGCAGCTTTGAAATGAGTCCCATAAGAGAATAAACTCTTAGAATCATCTGATTTTACTTAAAATAACATACACTTTCGCAATTTACATTCAAACCTTCGTCTGCAATGAGGTCGATTTTTGGGCTCTGGCTCCAGAGCTAATTATTCTACTGAGTTATTCTTGTTAAGAGTCTGCTAGATAAAGTATAGATCTCTTTTCTATCTCTCAGTAGCGAAGGATTTTGAGAAACGAGGATTCAAAAGAACCCAATTTTTATGAAAAAGTAATGAATCCAGATTCAAGAGATATATTGACCTACATTAAAAAATTGGTATTCAGTGGACACAGAATCTGTTGCTATACAACTTTGATTTTATGAGTTTTTCCTCTTAGAGAACTCATTTCAAAGGCCATTTAGAGTAATTTGTCTTAGTTTTTGAGAAATTTGGTAATGGTTTTTTATCATATCACTTAACCAAAAGTGTTAGGATTAGTCACTTGTTCGACAAAAAATTTGTCGTCTTTTAATTTCTTAAAGAGTACATTTTCCGCTTTGATGCACCGTTTAGGAGTTATAGGTAAAAAAATATGACTTTTTTGGCTGTTAAAATTTTTACCTTGGTTACTCACATTTGGAATTTTGGTTTTTACATGTTTGAACCCATATATACAAATCAAAAAAATAAGAACTTTTCCTACATTTTCCGCAAAATATTTCCCATTTCGATCCTCAAGGTTCATTTTACTTAGAATACCATACACTTTCATAATTTACATCCAAACATTTGCCCGCCATCAAGTCGATTTTTGGGCCCTGTCTCCAGGACTATTATATTACCAAGCCTCATGGTTTTTGTTAACTGTAAAAAAAAATAGAATTAATTTGATAGATCAAACTATTTAAAACCAAGGTGAATGTATTTGAGACAAATAAAACCCACAAAGCAATCTGTGCCATTAAAATTATACATTACATTAGTAATGAGTTACGTAATTATATAATTAACTAATTTACAAAAAATGAAATAATTCAGCACATAAAAGCTTCAATTGTAAATTACACAAAAAAGAGGATTAAAAAGTAAAACAAAAGGGACATCACATTTTAAATTGAGTAAAAGTTATATAAAAAACAATACCTGTGATATTGGGGGTTCATGTAAATCTAACTGTAATTTTTCAACTAATTCAGTGAAATCCCCAGCATGAAATGCTACCACATCTTTTGTTATTCTATTGAATTCATTTTTTTCTCCTCCAGAAACCGCTTTTAAGACACCTGCAATTAATATAACCATTAATAATAATTACTAAAATAGTAAACTGAAATGATACAACTAAATATAAATCTATCATGAAATAAATTAATTAAAAAGATGACCTAATGACAATTATTACATATCTTTAACAGAAAATCATCTTATAACAGTTTAAAAAAAATGAATTTTAACTTAATGGTCCAAAAAATTAAATGAGCATACTGGGGTAGGCAAAACTATCAATATTTTGCAGGATTTATCAACCTGATTTATAACTGACTGGTCAGTGACATTCTTGTGCCCTAGTGGATATTCTTGTGCACATACAGAGTACTCCCTACATACAACTAGGTTTCTGGAATCTGCTAAATTAATGAGCTTTTGTCCATTATTGCTGATTTTATCACGAAGGCTGTGTTTCTCTATTATCCATTAGAGTATTTATTCTTTTCCCAGCTTAGTATTGAAGTCTTAGAGTGATACCAGTGGGTAGTTTCTCAACAAGTGATTTCATGTTGTTATATTCTTTTGTTCACATTTACTGAATGTATTTTTACTTGTAATACAGTTGTAAATATCATCAATAAAAATAAAAATAAGTATTAAAGTCTCCAGTAATTACTTTCATATCATACTTAAGACCTAGAGCATGTCAAGAATGTCCTAGTCTTCTTCCTCAGACACTACCTCTAAGGGGCCATGTAAACTTATGAGGCTATAGTTGTAAAACTTTAAATGCACTCTTATGAGACAGATTCTTGGACTGATTGGTTTAAACTCTATTATTATGTAGACTCTCATGAAAGCTGAAGAAGATGAAGTGGCTCCTTTTTGGAAGAATTCCTTGACCAGCAGCCCACTTATCTGATCCTTATTAACTGATGTTAAAAAACAAAAAAAAATAAAAATAATATATATATAAAAGAAAATTGGATAGCTACAGTATCCATCTGAAGAAACAAAAAAGCCGGCTAAACAAAAAAAAAACAGTTGAAAATTTAATCCGTCTTAACATTTGAACTCATGAATATTTAATTACGATTTGAAAGATAGAAATCTGCTATTTTATTTGATTTATTATTTAATCAATTATTTATTATTATATTTATTTGCATTTCTCTTAGAAAGCTCATTTCACAACTGAAGTGTCATTTATATAACACCATTTTTTTTCTATCACAAGTCCTGGTCTATGAGACTAGGTGGAGGTCTCAATATATCCCGTTGGATAAAACGTTTAGAGACCCGTGGATTATATCAATCACGAAATTGATAAGAACAGATGCAACTGCAACCGTTTTATAAGATTTATAATTAAATATGGCCAAGAGAATGCTAGACTTCGATTTTAATCTTAGCTAAAATTCATTGTGAATTATATTGTAACATTGTGTATACAGACTTTCATTTAGAAAAATAAAAAGTCAAATAAAATATTGTAGCTAGGAAACTTAAAACTGCACAATAATTCTTGTTATTTTTATTAATCCAAGACATTTTTTTAAATAGATAATTTGAAAAACTCACCAACAGCTGCTGTAGTCATACGATCTAATCCATGGCCAACATGATCAGCATGGGCTTTAGTTCTATCTTCAAACATATATTCTCTAGCTTCTGAAGACCTCGGAAGATATTGTAGATTACGCAGTTCATTGATTCCAGCTCTGCATACATAAGTTAAAATTACAATATAGTAATCTATACACATTAAACAAGTTTAGTTGAATAAGTATTTCAAATAAGTATAATTTGCTGACTAAATATTTCAGACGTGTACAATATTTGAGTTGTTTTATATGGTTACAGAAATGTGACTATTGGCTAGTAATGAAATGAACATAAGCAAGAGGTGCCAATCAATATAAATATAACTTAGTTTGATAAAAGTATACAATGGTTAGATAAATAATTTTTAAAATAAAGACAATTTCAATGGATTGAAATGATACGTAGGACAATATATTATACAATATTTTAAGAATAACAATATTTATCATACTATAAGTTTGTATTACAATAAGGATTACATAGGCTATTGTTTTAGGAGGCGGAAAATATTCGAATATCAGATCTTTTCTTTGTCTACTTTATGGTTTACCAGATTATTTTTTTCCAAATTAATGAATATAGATGCCGAAAGTAGTCGTTTTTGGTGATTGGGAACTGTGGCAAGTATGGTTGGGTTTTCAAAATCAAATATGTAGTTTAGGGTTATGGCGTGTTCCGCTAGTTTTGAGGCAAACGGGTTTCGTGTGGAGATGCTGTATTTGTGTTGATAGATTCGTTTTTTTAAAATAGTTTTTGGTTTCTCCTATATAAGAATAATAATAATAATAATAATAAAAGGCTTAACGAACCTAAGGGTTCGATGCCGACACCACCAATCGCTTATTACACACCTCCCTCCACCGTTCGCCGTCCAAACCCAGTCCCTTCAGATCAGCTTTAATGCAATCTTCCCCCCACCTTCGCTTTGGTCTACCCCTCGGACGTTTACCATTCGGTACAGCAAATATTAACCTTTTAGGGATTCTCTCGTTACTAAGCCCAACAATTTTACAAGCCCATTTGATTCGTCGCAATGAGATTAGCTCAATTATATTACCCGGATACAGTTCACGCAATTCGGCGTTGTGTAACCGTCTGAACTCTCCGGTTAACTCATCCTTCTTCGGTCCGAATATTCTAAGCAATACTTTATATCTTCAAAAACCTTAATACGCTGCTCATCCCTTAATGCAAGCGGCCAAGTTTCGCATCCATAAAGAACTATAGGTAAGATAATGGTTTTATAGATTCTAATTTTTAAGTTCCGGGACAAGAGGCACGAGCTAAGTAGTTTTGTCACAGAAAAATAACAAGCATTTCCCGCCTTCTTGCTGGACTCAGACTTGCTGGAGGGTGTGACGTAAGATTGAATGCCCTACTCACATATCTTTAGTTCACCATACACCACAAATAGTCATGGAAAACTATTTGTAGATGGGGAAATTTGGAAGTTATAGCTTTTTTGAGATAGGGATGTATGGAATGGATCTTTATTGACGAATCGTGGTGGGGGGCTGAGAGCAGTTTGTGGGAGACTGGTGAAGATGGGGTTTTGATTGATTTTTGATCAAGTTTTTTATAATGTGATCAGGAAAAGCGTTGGATTTCAGCATCTTGCGTAATTTGGTTAGGTTGTTGTCGTGGAATTGCAGGTCGGTTAATGTTAAACTGTGGTGTATCAGGTTTTTAACTACACTGAATTTTTGGTGGTAAGAGTGTTGAGAAAAATAGTTTAGGAGACGGCCTGAGTAGGTAGGTCTGATGTAACAATTGGTGGATAAGGTATTATCATTATTTCTGGAAATGAGGAGATCAAGAAATGGGAGGGAATTATTTGATTCTATTTCAATGGTAAAACAGAGTCGAGAGTGGTATGAGTTGAATGCAGAAAGTATGTTTGGAATAGTGTGGGGGTTGAGGATTAATAAAAGGTCGTCAACACCTTCGTGCCTGCGCCCTGAATATTATCACCCTTGATAATAGCAAGTCAAAAGAAAACTGAAATAAAATAAAAGACTTTGTGTTGAATTCTTCAGATATAGTCCCTTCAGTGTCTCCTGACTCTCTCTACTTGGCTGTGGTAATAATCAACCAAATTTTACAATGTTCAAATCAAAAAGAAAAAAAGTAATAGGTATATATTTTGTGCTATGTACAATATAATATCTCTTTATGGATTTAATTCCTCTAGACAAAGCTGTCCTTCTAGTTCCGTTTGAGGAAATGTATTTTATTGGAATAAATATTTTTTGGATTCGTACTAAATTTTATATTATGAATCCATTTATTTTTTTCTTGATTTTTAAATAAATTCTTTATGGTAGTTAAATTCCTATTAACAGTTATTTACGAGATAACTGACTAACATGTCTCCAATTGGTGATTATATATATAGAAATAGAAAAATCATCTTTATTCTGGGACTAGGTCCCTTTAGACCTATATATATATATATATATATATATATATATATATATATATATATATATATATAAAATAATCTATAGAAGAAATAATAAAATCCATTTCTCTTTTCTCTTTTATTTAGGTTCTTGTACATACACATTACTTAATTTAAAGCTTACAAATTTAACCTAAAATTAAGAACACACATAGACACTTTAAACAGTCAAAAGTATTAGATATAAAACTATAAAAACTTGTAGGAAAATATCGCTTTGTCAGGAAATCTTAGTAGCCAGAAAAAGAAAAGAAAAAAAATGTATAAATGAATAATTTTCATTAGGTAGAATATCATGTAATCAATCTTCTAACTTCTACCACGAGGGTTTAAAAAAAAAAAAACAGCTAAATTTCTTGGGTGTGTAGTAAACCCTATCCCTAATTTTTGAAAATAGTCTAATTTCAAAGCAACATTGAGGTTGGGAGGTCAAAAAATGTTAGATAACCGCAATTATACCAGAACTTATTAATTTTTTTTGTCATGTTATGATGAGTCAGATTATCTGACCCTAAACTGGTTCCAACCTCCAAAATTAATCATTGATTCTCAAATTGATAAATGTTCAGTGACATCAAAGAAATTTAGATTTTTGTTGGAAAATCATATTTTGAAAACAGATTGCACTATGGATAAATGGTAGTCAGTGTCACACTAAATTTTCTATTTACTACACCTCCTTCAATAAAAATGACTGAAAATTCCTCCTAGGAGGCTGTATTCTCAATGTGGCCTTGAAACTTTTGACCTGTGGGCCACATCGAGAATTGTACTAAGTTCTGCAGGCCACATCGAGACCTCCACAGGCTACAGTTTGTAATGAAAAAAAGAAGCATGTACTATAAATGACACTTCATAGTGTTCATATATATATAACACTATAAAAGTGCTATATATATATAATGTAAATATATATATTGTATAGTTGTGCACAATAATAAAAGTTATTTATTTATTTATTTATTTATTTATACATGATATTTACAACTGTATTAAAAAATTAAATACATTAAGTAAATTTGATAACAGAAAATAAAAACATGAAATGACTTGTTGAGAAACTACCCACTGGTAGCACTCTAAAAACAAAATGTATTTACAATAAGAGATCTCGAGGCCATCTTCTTTTCAGACGCCTCGGAGGGTTATCAGGAATAGAAGAGGAAGCAAGGTTAGAGACGAGAGGATTCGGATGGTTCTGAAGTTTATTATGGAAAGATTGGTATCTGGATTGGGCCAAATCGGAAACATAAGGAACATTAAGGTCATTATGGATTATTTTATTGGTGACAAAGTAAGGAGCATTGAGGATTTTCCGAAGGATTTTGGATTGTAAGGATTGGATACGAGAGGAATTCGATGGCTTAGTGGAGCCCCAAAGCTCAACTCCGTAAGTCCAAATAGGTCTTATTGTACTCATGTATATAAGTCTTTTGTAATTTACTGGAAGCTTAGACCGTTTGTCTAGTAAGTGTTGGAGTAGTCGGAAACGTCGAGCGGTTTCTTGTCGTTTCAGTCTGGTATGAGGATTCCAAGTTAGACGTTTGTCCAAGTGAAGTCCAAGGTATCGGATTTGTTCAACAGGGATTAGTGGGGTATTATTAAAGGATACTTTGTGACATGAGGTCATAGGTTTACGTCGAAGGGTAAAGGTGATTTGATGGGATTTATTAGAATTTATTTTAATCCTCCAGTTTTTACACCATTCTTCAAGGCTTGTGATGTGCGATTGAAGAGTTTGGGATGCAATGGTTGGGTCATTATTAACGGATAGGACACATGTATCATCGGCATACGTGGTAATAACAGTGTTAGGATGGGTTGGGATGTCAGCTGTATAAACTGTGTAAAGGATAGGACCAAGGATACTACCTTGAGGAACACCAGCGGACTGGGAAAAGAGGGATGAATAAGCATTATTGTGATTGACTTTTGAGTATCTATCAGTTAGATAGGAACGGATAATGAGGAAGTATGTAGGATGTAGGAATTTACGGAGTTTGTAAAGTAATCCCGGGTGCCAGACTCGATCAAAAGCCTGTTCTACATCGAGAAAGACTCCCGTGCAGTACATTCCGCGCTCTAATGCAGAGGAGACAACATCCACCACACGATGGCATTGCTGGATAGTGGAATGGGATCTGCGGAATCCAAACTGGTGATCTGGGATTATGTGATTAGAATCTAGGATTGGGTACAGGCGTTTTAGGATGAGTTTTTCTAGGACTTTTCCCATGATGGGTAAAAGAGAGATAGGACGGTAAGAGGATGGGTATTCTGGTGGCTTTTTGGGTTTATGTATCATTTTGATAATGGATAGTTTCCAAGGGTCGGGAAAATATGTTGATCGGAGTACAGCATTATATATATATGTAAGGAATAGGATGGCTTTCCGAGGAAGTAGTTTTAGGATCTGGGATGTAATTAGGTCGTGCCCAGGAGCTTTGCGGGAAGGTAACCTGTGAATGATGTTAGATATTTCTGAAGGATGAAAGGCTTTAGGAGGAGGAGTCATTTGGAGTGGGATATCCAGTTCTGCTTCAATACATTCAAGGTGATTTGGGTTAAGAATATCGGGATGTGGATTAAAGGTTTTAAAGAGGTGGTGGGCAAATATTTGGGATTTTTCTTCGTCGGATTTGGACCAGGTTTGGGCTTCAGTGAGTAGTGGATGGTTGCAGTCTTTAAATTTCAGGAGCCTTTTAGTGGTCGTCCATAGTGATTTATCGGTGGGTGTAAGTTTTTCAGTATAATTTAGTAAATTTTGAATTTTGTATTTTCTTATTTCTGATTTCAGTTTGTTAGTCAGTTGGGTGTAATGCGCTTTATCTGTCGGGTATCTAGTTCGATGCCACTGCGAGCTGGCTCTGCGTTGTTCCGTTATTAAGATGCGAATATGCTGTGGCAAGTTAGTATTTTGGGGTTTGTTAATCTTATTGATAAAGGTATTATTATTTATACTGTCTGTTATTGTTGATGTCAGTTTTCCTATGGCACCATTAATGTCTTCTTTTGTCTTTAGCGGAATTTTGAGGTCAAGTTTGTTTTCCAATTCATCACGAAATTTGTCCCAGTTTACTCGTCCAGTGATAAGTTTGGGAGGTGATGGTTTAGGAGCAAAGTCAGAATGTAATGAAAGCACAACCGGACTATGGTCTGAAGAAAGGTCATCAAGGGATTTGATTATAGTTTGGGAGGAGGAAATCTGGGAGGTGATAAATATATCCAGGATATCGGGACGTTTTTTGAGGGATGTTGGCCAATAAGTAGGACTCGTGGGCGAGAGGATTGAATAACTATTAGAAGATGAGAGACGGGAAAGGATGTTACCGCGGGAGTTGGATGTTCGACAACCCCACCGTTGGTGTTTAGCATTGTAATCTCCTCCAGCAATAAAGCGCGATCCGAGGGATTGGAACAACGTATCAAGGAGATTAAAGGAGAGGGAATTACCAGGAGGACAGTATACAGCTGAGACTGTGAAATGGAAAGGGCGAGTTGAAAGGATTAAAGAAGTTGATTGAATGGCGTCAGTTGGAGTGGAAGGAATAAGGGAATGGGGTAAAGATTTATGTATAAGGATGCAAGAACCGGCGTGGGCAGTGTTGTCTGGATGGTCAGATCTATAAGTGATGTAGTCTCGTATGTGAAAATGTGTCCGTTTTGTGAAATGCGTTTCAGTCAGTAGAGCTATATCAATGTGATTGTCATGAAGGAATATGTCAAGTTCGTCACGGTGGTTGTGTAGTCCGTTAGCATTCCATAAAAGGATAGTTAGGGGCTTTGTGCTCATCGAGGGAAATTAAACGGAATTTCGGTCAGGATTCTGGTTAGTAGAGTGATAAGAGGTTTTATGGTGTTTTGGAGGTCCAATAGGAAGGATGATAGAATGGAAGTTAGATCAGATGGATGTTGATTGTGAAGTGGATTTAGTATAGGTTCAGGTGGCGGGTAAGGAGTGTTAACTGAGAGTGGGATTCGTTGTTGTGTACGAGGTGGGACTGGATTCGACGATACTTGTGCTGGGTTTTTTTTCTGGGCATTAGGATGAGATGGGTGCGATTGCTGTGGCGGTAATTTGACTCGTAGAGGTAGATGATGAGGGGGAATTTGCTGACGCGGAGGATGAAATATGAGAGGATTGGGAGTATGAGGTTTAGCTTGGGAGGCCTGAGGCGCCTGGCGTCGAGGCTGCTGCTTCTTGATGGTGGTATGGGTACTAGTTTTGGTAGATTCCTGTTGAGGATGGGCAATTTCAGTTGAAGTAGTTGGTTCTTGTTGTGTTGAATGGGTAGTTTGTTTTGGCAACTCAGGAAAATTTGTAATATCAATTTCTGGTGGCTGGGTGTAAGTTTCTTTATTTAGTTGGCTGCACTTTAAGGCTATGTTATGAGTTCTTAACTTGTAGTATTTTTTATATACTATGCATCCTTTATAGCTTGCAGGATGGTCTTCGCCACAGAGAGCGCATTTAGGAGGCTGGTCTCGAGGGATCTGACAAGTGTTAGATGCGTGTGGCCCGGCACATCTAACGCACCTCGCTTGATGATGGCAATAGGTCTTTGTGTGCCCCAAGTCTTGACACTTGGAGCATTGAACTATGACAGGTTTTTGTCTAGGCTCTTCGAATTTTACTGTGGAATACACAAGCCTCTTAACTTGAAATATGTCAATGTTATTGCTTGCAGGCTCCAAATCAACAAAAAACAGTGGCAATGGATATTTTTGCGTTGGATGTAGGACGCATGCTATATGCCTAACGTTATGTCCTATTTCCTCTAGATCAGATTTGATAACGGATATGGGAGTGGTTGAGTGCAAGCCTCTCAATACCACCCGATATGCCTTTTCTTGTCTCAGTTGGTAACAGTGAAATTCATATTTTTTAGTTGTAAAATAATTTATCAGAGTTTTATAATTTTCTTTAGAGCTCGTGTTAATCTTAATGTCATTAACCCTAGAAAAACAGCGGAAACTGGTTTGTCCGATAAGATTGGCAATTTCTTGAACGAATGATATAAAATTTTCAATTTTAGAGACAAAAATAGGGGGCGGCTCGGGGTCAGTAAAACCTTGAGGTACCGGAGGCTTGTTAGGTGAGTTACTACCAAGATCAAAATTATTGCTGGCTGTGGTATTTGGTGCAGTTGGAGCTGTTTTTGTGGTGTTTGATTTGCTTCTAGTTCTGGGTGGTGATTTATTTTGCTCGGCAGGCTGTTTAGATTTATTTTGTTCAGCTGTCTGTTTAGACTTCGCTGACTTATTTTTCTTCTTGTTAGGCGAATTGCCACCTGACCCAGGGGCAGAGTTTCTGTGACGTTTCTGAAGCGAGCGTCTTTTCAGATATTGCGAATCAGTTTCGCTAATCTCGGAAAATGGTGTCTCGTCCTCTGAATCTTCACAGGAAGATTTCTCGTCCAAATTCATATCTTCCATTATGATAAGAAGAGAAAAGAAAGAAAAAATATATATATATATATACCTAAATATTAAAACTACAAAATAAGAATTTACGATCTATTAAAAAGAAGTAAAAAAAAAAAAATACAAACTCAGAAACAGAAATAAAACAAAACATTTCTGAGAATAAATAAACAAAGGAAAAAAATTAAATAAACTGTCTTGGAGAAGAAAAAAAAAAAAAAAAAAAAAATGAGTTCTACAAGTCTTTGGTTTCGTACTGAGATCAGCTGACGGAAGCGAGCTAGTATACAAACCTTGGCCGGGAACTTAACGTAAATAAGATAAGAAGCAAGGGAATTAACAGCCACATGGGCTATTCAAACGAGCACTAATTTATCACTTCATTGTTAATAAATTGTAACTCACCTCTTTATCCGTGAACTTAAAAATGTTCAACTGTTTATAATGTCACTGTTAATCAATTATTAACACAGAGTTTTGACTAATAAGCACATATCAAAGTAATAATCACAGAGCGAACTGAAAACTAAACTGCAGTAGCGGCCATGACACTTACTCTCAATAAAAGTTAATTATATTTTTCTTTTTGCCTAAGTTTCAGTCCAAAGTTCAGGCCTTCATCAGGGCTGTTCAACACTTGACATGAAAGTTTATTTTTCCATTTAATTCTATAAATAATAGTATCTTACTATAAATTATATATTAATTATAAGAGGGGGTTGCTAGTAAAACGTTCCTAAAATAATTCTTTAGTGAAATGCTTGATGGTTCTTATTTAAATTTAAAAACATCATCAATCAGAATAAGTTATATTGTTTTGATCAAAATTACAATGTTATAAATAAATTAAATTCATAATATTTAAATTAAATTTAAATGTATTAATATCTAACCTTCTCCTTTTAAGTGGTGTTTTAAATTCAGCAGTAGGCACTAACTGTTCACCAGGTCTTATCCACAGGATTGGTCCATCATTTGATTCTTCTGGTGTTTGCATTTTCACTATTGAAAGGGGACCCCAAGGCATAGTCTGTAATGCAAATTATTTAATTGAAAAAATTAGCATGATCAGAATAACTAATTCTAAGATGATCAAATATAGTACATGCAAATAAAAAATATGCAGTATGTTACTAATTTTCTATTTTCCTAAACATAAAAAATTTCACACCTAAACTATGGATTTCTTAAAATTAATAAGTTTTCCTTGACTATCTATTTACTGAGACAGTTCTTTTTAACATAAAAAAATTTAATCTAAAGTGAAAGTTCTGTACAGCGGATTTCTATACCCACATAAATACGGAACATCTAAAGTATACAACATATACAGCATCAGGAGATTTCCATCTACAGATCTACAGATAGAGCTCTGCATGTAACAATGACACAAAGGGAAAAAAATTCTATGAAATTGATTGGCAATTTTTTAGCTCATACTCATCTAATTATAAAAGAAAAACTTAATATTCGCAAAGTACTCAGTTGATACAATATTAGGAAAAACACAGGTATGTGATATTTTAAACGGATAATAAAAAAAAAAAAAGCCTAAAAACTACAGGCCTTGTCATCGAGATCAAGTTAAATTTCTTTATCTAGCCTTCTGATTAAAGAAATAACATCACAATTTGCATTGAATTGATTTTAAGGTCAACTTAATATCTATAATGTATGTATGAGATGTCTACTTTACATTTTTCATTATCGTAGTAAATTATAAAAATATAAAATTTACAATAAAAATTAAAAGATAGAAAAAAATTAAAACACCAAACAAGATTAGAACATCAAAAGAACAAACTGGGCATTCTCTATCATCCGGCACGTCCAGTAACGAAGCAATCTTAAGGAACAGGTGGGTAAGCTGTTTTCATGCCTCTGCATGTCTGTGAGTGTTGGAAACTTTATTATTTCACTGGTGTGTTGTCAGGTGTAGATGGGTGTAGTGTGACTTATTTAACTAGTCATAAGTGATAGTTCTGTGCAATTGGTTTATTAATGTGATATGAAAATTTAAAAAATGGCATAATAATAATATATTTTATTAATTCTGGGACAAGACCCTTTAGAATAATATACCAAGAGAGAAACGTGGGCTTTGGAGCCTTGGAGATGTATAAGAAGAATCCTTATATTCTCTGATTCTTTAAATACATCTGTTCCCTGTACAAAAATTATGGAAATATTCCAAGTTAAATGTAAGTTTATTTCTGGTAGCACTAGATAAAAATTGTTTTTATGATTTAATTAAAACTACACAATAATAAAAATATCTAGGAAGATATATAGTCAGGATTTTCAGTCAAAAGTTTGTTCATTCTAGTTGCATCGGCAACTGTCATTGGACCCAAGCATATGGTTCATCATCAGGGCTAAAAATTACACCAACAATATAAGATATTGGCAAAGTACATAAATAAGCTAAGATTATAAGGTAAATAATACGATTACAATAATATTAATATGCCATAATACTTTTATTATAATATAATAATATATAGTATTATGTTTATCTACTATTATTTTAATTTACTATATCTTTTGCTCTAGGCTTATTTATGCATTGCAGTCTATAGTGTTGTTTAGTATCAGTCAGTAGTATTGGTTTCTGTTATCGAATAATTTTTATTTAGTGCTACCACATATAAACTTATATTGCACTTGAAACACTCCAATAATTTGTGGACTGTTAACGGGTATATACTTGCCTGCCTTTTTATCATATCTTGCATTGTTACTTCAAATTAATATTATGTAACATTATGTGAAAAATAATACAACAAATTAATTCACTTAAAATTGTTTGAAATAAAAAATATATATTAAAAAGAGGAAATATAATCTAAAGTTATCAGTTATTTTTAACAAAATTAATTCAATAAAATCAAATGTAGAAAACTAACTGAGATTAGGTAATGGACTGTATGACATCCCACAGGAGGAAGATGACTATATTTTGTCATAATTACTGTTCAAAGCATAATTAGAGGTAAATCTCTCATTCTGATTAATTGCACATCAATAATAAATGCAATATAATTTTCTTCAACCCTATGTCCACATAAATAAGTGTACCTACCTGTCTGAGTGAAATAACTCCAAGTGAAGGCTAACTTACAATTTTTAACAAATGTCTAAGTTTTCCTCCAGAGGAACACTATGAATATAAGTGTTAAGAAGTTCTACTTTTAAAGGATCAAGAAAAAATTAAACCATACGTTACAAATCAACTACATATATGTTTTAAATTTTAATATTTCCATTTCTCCTCCATCTATTTTCTAATAGCACTTTATCACTGAAATATTTATAATTCAGCATTAGTTTTCTTACTGAATAAATTAAATTTATACTTGTGCTTTTGTTCAAGCTATTTCACATTCCAGAATTTTGGAATACTTTTGCACTAGTGCCAATAGTAATTGTTACTCTCAAATTACATAAAATCACAGAACCGATCTGCACTCTACTGTAGCTATCGATAGACTCGAAGAGTGGATTTAATGACTTATATAAGATTGAGCAGACTACGTTATGCTGGCCATGTTGCACGGATGCCATCAGAAGAGATCCCAAGGAAGTTGCTGAATTGAAAGACAGTATGAAACCAGAGGAAGAGGCAGACTTCGATTAAGATGGGAGGATAGAGTAACATGGGTTGCCCGGGAGCTGCTGGGCACAAACAAATGGCGAGGGGCTGCCCAGGATGGATTGACCTGGTGAAAACTCATTGAGGAGGACAAGAACCTCATTTGTCTGTAGTGTCACAGAGTATTAGTAGTAATACAGATACATATATTAGTGAAATGCCATACAACAGAACTTTACTCCTTAAGGATTAACAATACTACAAAACTAGAATTGCCATTTTGTTTCTAACTTTCATAAAAAACTGTTCCATAGAGAACTAACTACTAGTTTTATAGAAAAGTCATTCCCAAGTCAGTCAGTTCATTAGTTTTTGCTCGTCATGCAAGAAATTATTCTAGTTGTAGAATATTATTTATGTGTTATGTTCCATTTTTTTACAGTAATCACTAAACTACGATATCAATAAAAATCTTAATACCATTTTTAGAAAAGTATTTTCTTCTAATCTATCCAATAAATCTGGGAAAAAACCTCCTACTTCTTCTGTAACTGTTCCAACCAAACTTATTTGGTGCAATGGTCCATGCCTCACAGTACCATAGGAATAATGTTTATTGACCTAAAATGAACAATAGAAAAAAAATAAATCACAATGCATAGTTATAAAACAATATATCATTTATTTTATAAAATGATTTTTTCACTTTCATACACCTAGATTAAAATTTTAGAAGAAACTTTTCTGCCCATAATTAGTAATTTAAGTCATTAGAGAACATTTGTAAAAAAAAAAACATAATAAAAAAAGCTCAGGCTCATAAAAACAATTGAAGTTCCTCACTCAGGAATCATAACTTAGATCCAGCATAACGATTTCGTAAATCAAAAATCTTTTTTTCTTCTTATGATTTGATGTACTAAAAATAATACTTTCTGTAATTATGTATGAATTTGAAAATTATTTTATTTTTATTTATTCAAATTTACAACTGCATTAAATAAACAAAATCAGTAAATTTGAACAAATCAGAAATAATGACATGAGCAAACTTACAATGATAACAAACTACCCAATGATAACACTTCAAATTCATTTTATTATTATTGTTATTAAAAAAGTTAACAATGCATCTAAAAAAATATTGCAATTTACAATTTTACTCAATATCTGGAATTCGTAAATAATGCTATTTAGTGTTCAAAACAAGAAATAAGTACAACACTTGAAATGAATAATTGAATGCCATAATAATGTTAATATATTTATGTATAATATCATATCATAATATATATATATACACGGTGGGCCAGACCCGCTTACCGTGTACCCCCCCCCCCCCCACATCCCTATAAATTATTGCATATCGTTGTGTTCCTTGTAACAATTTATTAAAAAAAAAGCCAATGTTCCCACAAAAAAAAGTGAACGCACTGCCCCAAAATGGCGGATTGACGACTTTGACTTTAATTAGTTTTTTGGTCACTGAGAATCAGCATTTGGCTTAATTTCCTCATAGTTGGTCTTTTATTAAAGCTGAATAGTCATAGAATAATAAAACATAAAGAAATATAAAAAAATAATTGGCTTAGGCTATGAAAAACAACAGTAAAGTCAACTTTTTTAACAAAAAAATTTTCAAGTTACAAATCAAGCGTCGTTTGTAATTAAACGGTCTACAATAACGAAAAACGTGCTGAAATAAACCATCTGGAGAATATATTTCTCTTTCTAAAACGCTGATTACTTTTTAAAATATTTGAAGCAGTTCCGTAGAAAATAGACTTATGCGGCAGAAAAGCGGTACTGGCGTGGGTGCCTACAGACCTCTACCACACCATTCAGTACACATAAATGGCTTAGTTACAGTGATATAATAACATTTTTGGTACATTATATTGGTTTTATTAACGAACAAATATTAATGCAATAATTTAACTGTAAAAAAAAAAAAAAAATTAAAAAAAAAATTATTATTATTTTTTTAAAATTTAACCTCCTTTATTCTTTACGTAGGTCGTTTAAGAAGACCTCAATTGTAAAAATGATATAATTATAATAATAAAACTTAATTAAAAAATACATTGCTAAATATCTTGATTTTTTTTTTATTTAACGTTTGCAATTTAACACTGAGTTTGGTATATTTACTGAATCTTAGAGGTAATTAAAATTTTTATATACTTCCCAGGAAATGAGTCATATTAATACCTGTTTTATAAACTAAAATAATATATACCTAATCTGAACTATATATAATGAATAGCTGGCGGGTTGTTTAGTAAAACTCATATACCACTAATTAAAAAATTACTTTTTATTTCCTTTATTTTGTGCGGAAGTTGGATTATATCATAAATAAATAGGAAATTTTAATATTGAATGAATTATTCTCTCTGCACAAAGAAAGATAGAAAGGGTGACGCTATAAGTTCTTCTATAAACCAGAACTGATTGTTTGTTTTTGGTCTCAAAATGAGGAAAAACGCGAAATTGAACCAGAAAATTGGAAAAATACATTAAGCGAATGAGAAAGGAAGTGCCAAAACCTCGGAAAAGATAAAAAGGACCAGTATTCATTATATATCTAAATGAATCTATAGTAGACAGATGAACAGAATATTTCAAGATGCTGCTAAAAGGGAGTCAATTGCAGTTTGGATGATATTAAGTGGACGATGTAGGTTTATTATGGTGAAAACCACTTTATTTTCGATTGCTACTGAATGTGCACACTGGGACTATCTACACTTTGAAGCAGGATATAGGTATATCGAGAAAGTTTAGTCTGTTTAGTGCATTTGCAAACGATTTTTTAAGGAATCTAAAAGGAAAACGAGCTTTTCTGAAAGACAATTAGATATTAGCATAATCCAAAGTGTGAGGCACTAAGCAGATAGAGAGCTATTTTTCATTTTATATGGACTTCTCTATAAGTGAAGACAGTCCCAATTTTCAACTTCTCTTCCAATGTGCAACTTGAGTTTCTCAATCCATATCGCTCTGGCAATCGACAATATTTCTTATTCCAGCTTCTACGATTGTTGAGTATAATTTCTTTGGTACACTAAACAGGAATGGATCTTGGTGGGTATTACATTTCCTAATATCTTCTTTCTTGTAAAGGTAAAAAATACAGTCCTTTCATACCATTTTCTAATATACTTGTTGTCGATGTACGCGCAAAACTGTGCGAAGCAGTTGGGTTTCGCTCTTTCAATCTTTCTTTGTGCAGAGAGAATAATGAATAATGCATTGAAATATTAAAATTTCCTATTTTTTTATATGGTACAAATTCCGAACAATTTATTCCGAAATATATGAACAATAACGAGCTATGACTAATATAAGATTCCTTAAAAAATCTCTAGCAAATGCATCAAACAGAAGGAGAGCTATGAGCGATAACTTTCTCGATATAACTCTCTATATCCTGCTTCAAAGTGTAGATAGTGCCAGTGTGCACCTTCAGTAGCAATCGAAAATAAAGTGGTTTTCACCATAATAAACCTACATCGTCCACTTAATATCATCCAAACTGCAATTGACTCCCTTTTAGCAGCATCTTGAAATATTCTGTTCATCTGTCTACTATAGATTCATTTAGATATATAATGAATACTGGTCCTTTTTATCTTTTCCGAGGTTTTGGCACTTCCTTTCTCGTTCGCTTAATGTATTTTTCCAATTTTCTGGTTCAATTTCGCGTTTTTCCTCATTTTGAGACCAAAAACAAACAATCAGTTCTGGTTTATAGAAGAACTTCTAGCGTCACCCTTTCTATCTTTCTTTGTGCAGAGAGAATAATTCATTCAATATTAAAATTTCCTATTTATTTATGATATAATCCAACTTCCGCACAAAATAAAGGAAATAAAAAGTAATTTTTTAATTAGTGGTATATGAGTTTTACTAAACAACCCGCCAGCTATTCATTATATATAGTTCAGATTAGGTATATATTATTTTAGTTTATAAAACAGGTATTAATACGACTCTTTTCCTGGGAAGTATATAAAAATTTTAATTACCTCTAAGATTCAGTAAATATACCAAACTCAGTGTTAAATTGCAAACGTTAAATAAAAAAAAATCAAGATATTTAGCAAAGTATTTTTTAATCAAGTTTAATTATAATTATATCATTTTTACAATTGAGGTCTTCTTAAACGACCTACGTATAGAATAAAGGAGGTTAAATTTTAAAAAAATAATAATAATTTTTTTTTAATTTTAATTTTTTTTTTTTTTTTTACAGTTAAATTATTGCATTAATATTTGTTTGTTAATAGAACCAATATAATGTACCAAAAATGTTATATCACTGTAACTAAGCCATTTATGTGTACTGAATGGTGTGGTAGAGGCCTGTAGGCACCCATGCCAGTACCGCTTTTCTGCCGCATAAGTGTATTTTCTACGGAACTGCTTCAAATATATTTTAAAAAGTAATCAGCGTTTTAGAAAGAGAAATATATTCTCCAGATGGTTTATTTCAGCACGTTTTGCGTTATTGTAGACCGTTTAATTACAAACGACGCTTGATTTGTAACTTGAAAACTTTTTTGTTAAAAAAGTTGACTTTACTGGTGTTTTTCATAGCCTAAGCCAATTATTTTTTTATATTTCTTCATGTTTTATTATTCTATGACTATTCAGCTTGAATAAAAGACCAACTATGAGGAAATTAAGCCAAATGCTGATTCTCAGTGACCGAAAAACTAACTAAAGTCAAAGTCGTCAATCCGCCATCTTTGGACGCCATTTTGGGGCAGTGCGTTCACTTTTTTTTGTGGGAACATTGGCTTTTTTTTTAATAAATTGTTACAAGGAACACAACGATATGCAATTTATAGGGATGTGGGGGGAGGGGGGGGGGTGCACGGTAAGGGGGTCTGGCCCACAGACTAATATATATATTGATTTGAAAATGGTTATGATTGGTTGATTATATCTCCGTGCCAGATCAATTTCAGATTTCTGATAAAGCACATCAATCTTTGATATTTATTTAACCATATCATCAAATTTAAGTCTGCCCTGACCTAAATTACTATAGTCTCAAGAAGGCACAGGCTGTGAATTAATTCACTCTCACCTATAAACTTTTTAAAGAATTTCGGGTTTCATTATCTTTCTGGTTTATAAGTCCAGGCCAGTTTTTAGTCTAAGTGAATTCTTCAGCTTCAATTAGTATATGATTAAACATATGTTATCACACATTAATTGACAGTAATGTGTAGTTGTACAATAATTATTAGAGTAACACTTGAAAGAATAGTAGAGGATTTTGATTGTTATAAATTTTTAATTAGAAAAATAAATAATAATGAAAGAAAAACTAATGCATATTTAACAACTGTTCTGAATTTTAAAATACCTGATCTCTGTACTGAGACATTGTAGTTGTTTCAATATCTGAGCTTCTACCCAGGACACCATTTTTCACTGTTAAATTAGGATAATGATCAGCCATATAATCTAACAGATCTGGAAGATAGTTAGCAGAATTATGCACAATGCCCATCACATGATAAGCAGATCCATAATCATCCTCTGCAAATACCACCTGTAAGTAAAATAAGTTTATCACCATTTAATCTAATGTTAAAAAGACTATAGTAAAACAAAGAAATTTGTTTCAATATAAATAAAATTTAAAATGAAACAAAGCTCACAAAAGAAAACTTGTACTGTAATTTAAATGTGTCCTGACAGATTGCTTTTGACTGCATGCCCTGCCCATCTCAACCTCTATTGACAGTATGCTAAAGAATCCACCCTAATAATGTGATCTCTGAGTATGGAAAATCTTTCCCAATAGTAGACACAATTCAAATATATCAGCTCCAAAAATAACCTCAATAAATACTACCACAAATGGACTAGTCTATAACAAACACAAGGAAACTGAAATCCTGAAAATTTTCAAACTATGGGTAGTTATGTGTGTGTGTGTGTTTGTGTATATATCTATAATATTACATATATTATAATAAGAATTAGAATATAAGAACATTTAGTTGTCACCTAATGACATAAAAATCAATATGAAGATAGGTATAAAGCATTCATGTACTATTATTTTAGGTGATAATTCTTATAGATTAATTTTCTTCAAAACAGCATTTTCTTTGACATACTTTTTAAAAATAAAATGTGTACTTCAGTATGTAATTTATTAGAGTTCCAGAAATTCTTGAAGGCCTAACAAAATACATAAACCTTAATGTTTCTAGACTTTTTGTTTTACTTTAAAACCTTGTTAAAAGGGAAAGAGAATTGCCATTTAGAGAAAGTGTTTATGGTTAGTTTTTATTTTCTTGAAATGAAGTGCATCATGTCTAAAAAAAAAACCTTCACTGTGGAAAAGTTTCTTAATTTTTGCTGTCTTAAAAATGGTGAGATGAACATCAATTTAGCTAAGAACTAATTATAAGAAAGTCTACAGTATCTTTAATTTGGAAAAATCGGGTCTTGAATCTTATAAATCTTGTTGAAAAAGGGGATTCTTTAAAAATTAAGAAATACCATCATTATAACCCACAAAAAATTGATGTATAGCTGAAATGGTTTCAAATCTAAAGAAGTGCAATCCCAATATGCTTGCTAAGGCAAATGATTTCTTGAGATTTATATCCTGCAGCACTAGGCAATCTTTAGAAGAAAAAAAATCTTAGGCTAGATTAGGCATAATAATGATTTTAAAAAAAAAATCCTATTATACTTTTACATGATTGTATGTAGTATGATTAGTTATAATTACAATTGGCTTTATCAACTAAATATTCATGGCCTCTTAGAAGCTGCTATAAATGAAATGTAGTGTATATATACATATTATTTTTAAACCTGCATTCTTTATCCTGTTTGTGGCGGATGTAGTTGAGTACTTTCGTGACCGAGGAGCTGTTGGTATTAGTATAAAGTAGTTATGCTTCTGTTAGCGGATGATATTGTCCTCCTCAGTAATTCGTGGCATGATGCACAAAGAAACATCAATATACTGAGCAACTACAGTAAAAACAAATCTTTAACCCTAAATCCAGCTAAGTCTAAGGTATTGGTGTTCCACAAATCTCCAAAGATGAAGAAACTTAAGACTTTAGCTTGGCAAGACACAAGTTTGGAGAATATCAAAAACTACACATATCTGGGTGCCCTCTTTTCTTCTGGAAAATTCGAGAAAGCCGCGGAGCATTTCTTACAAACATCATCTGTTGCAGCTACTAAAGTGATGGCAATCCTAAGAAATGGAAAAAGTGACTCTTGGGAGACAAAAACCAGCCTCTTTGTCTCGATGTTCAAAGATGAAATCATTGAAAAAATGAGAAACCATCATGCATCCAAGGACATTGACGGAGTGTTAAACTCTAAATCAAACCCAAGATATAGAAAAATCTGCTCCTTTCAGACCAGAGAATTATCTGCAGTTCTAGACTCTAAATTTAAACAAATTAAGAGCCGTTAGTCGTCTCAGAGTAGTAAGTAAGGATTTAGTGAAGATATACTTAAAAGATGCTACTATCGCTATTAAATCTAGTGAAGTATGTGGTGCATGCGTCTGCCTTGTAACTGACCACGTGACTCATTTTTTTAATCAATGCATCAAATTTAACGAACCAAGAAATAAGTACTTGGAAATATTTATTACTGAATCCAGGGAAGATGTTAGTGTAGAGGAGATACTGAAAATAGACGCTATGAAAAAATTAAATCAACTGTATTATTTCATACAAGGCTGTTCATTGAACTGTTAAGTGATATAGTTAATCATAGGAGCATATATTAATGCTTATTTATATTATTGTTTGTTTTATACCTCTGAAATATTTAAAAGAATTTATGATTGAAAAATAAAATGTTTTACTAATTGTATATGTGTATATATATATATATATATATTGTTTAATAATATGTTATTACGTTAGTCATACTTAATGCTGTGGACGTTGTTAATGTTATGTTTGAACGTAGTACTAGACTCAAGATCTAAAATTGTTAATAATACCTTAATATTTATTTGTACAGGAATTTCCTTAGACAAATAAAATAAACTATTCTATATTATTTTTGTTTTTAAATATTTGTTGCAAGTGTATTGTCCACTGATGAACTTAAATTAGTAAAATTAATTGATAAATATGTTTAAATGTTCTAACTAAATGCAAAGATTTTATAATTTGAATTAATGTGAATATCGATTGAAATTAACTGAATATAAATCTTCATAGAAAAAAATATTGATAAAAATTAAAGGTTATCTACAGAAATAACTATGATTAATTATTACAAAAAATTATTTTAAAAAATAATTGATAACTTTTTATAATTGTTCATATTTAATTTACATTAATTGAATGCACCTTCCTAGAAAACTAAATTATTAACAACAAAGTCCAGTAAGAGATGTTGTTACTGGTTACTGGTTTATTATTAAAAAACCCAAAATTACATTCATTTGTAATATCACCATGTAATTCTTGTATTTTTTAAGATTATATATATAAATATATTTTTATGTAGCAGTGAGGTTTTTCTTAAAGGAACAATCTAACTTGATTTTAGTTGGCATTTCCAATCAAATTTCCCTATATGAAAAAAATATCCCCTATTCTCCAGCCAGATTTCAAAATTCAGTTTTGGAAATTGTTTATTATTATTTATTATACTATAATATTAATCCTTATTCATTTATTTTATTAATATTATTTAAAACTATTTATACATAGCACTTATTCTTCTTGCCTTTTGAGTGTCAGTATTCAAAACAAAATTAACATTTTATTTAGACAAAATCATGAAGTAATTAAATATCAATCTCTTAGAACATTTAAAACTTTGTAATATATTTCTGAATTAATTTTAAACAACTCAAGTTCCCCAGCAGGCAAACTGCGCTGAGGTGGCTGAATCCATATAGAGTTTGTAATGGGTCAGCCCCCAGGACCACTACAAATCCTTGACTGGATACAGACAGGGTGTATGAACCCATATAGGGTTTGTAATTACTCTGAATGTGTAATTAAAATTAAAAATTCCATATGATTTCATTTACATATTTGCAGGGAAAATTTGTTTAATTAGACTTGGAACCAAATAAGACCATATCCCCTGCCTAAAATATAGACATAGGGTTGGGTGTGGTCAAGTTCTGTTTCTTGCAACAACAAAAAAATGACTTTGTTGTACAAAATTTTAAGTATTGTTTGAAGTTACATAATATTTAAAATGAGTTCATTTAATTACAAATATATATAAGATTGATGTATAAAATTTCATGATGAGATAACAGTAATTGTTCATAATTTATTAATATAAGTGGTAGAAAATATGTGATACAAACCTTAAAAAACTCTTTAGCTAATTCAGGTATTTCCGATTTTGGTAAAGAATCAATTTCATCTTGAAACATATGAACTACTGAAGCACCTCCATTAGGGTAAACTTCAACTTTCATAAAATTATTATACTTCAAGTTTTCTAATCCTGGGTGAGGCACAGAGATAATTTTAGGCAATGAATTGACATGGCCTGTAGAAATTTCATTAGTTAAATAACGACCTACAGTTTTATCACGCCTACACTGCACACCAATATTACAACGTTTAATTTTTGTCCTACTACACTTCTCACAAACATATTTTTTGTCAGAATACTTAAAATCATGTTTTTCATCTTTTTTGTGATGATCTTTTCGGGAAGAACTAGACTCATACCTCTCATGCTTGGATTTACTACTGTATGATGAGTAATTTTTTCTTGATGAAGATTTACTATGTGTGCTACTAATATATGAATCCCCTTTAGAATGTTTCTTATTGTCATCAGCTTTACCACTTTCGGTGGTTGATCGTCTTGCTTTAGAAGAGCTACTGCTACTATGTCTCCTCTTGTCAGAGTGATCAGATTTTCTTCTTTCATTATTTTTCACATCATCTCCTTTACTACGTTCACCATTTTCAAGTTTATTTCCACTTCGGGAATTGCTTTTCCGTGTTTCATCAATAACACCAATTTCCTGAAATATAAATTTACTCATTATAAAAGCTGCATGAAAATAATGATTACATTACAAATAATAATAAATAAATAAATGATTAAATGATAGCATATTTCATTTTTAAATAGTTACATTGTAATATGTATGTACTCTTGGATTATATTATTTATAAATAATATTTATGTTCCCTACTCTTATAGAAACCTAATGAAACTATTTACAAACCAACACTTAATAATGCAAATGCATCTCATAGTCCAGGTGCTAATGCGTGTTGACCTATCTTCAAAAAGATGACAAATAATTTATAAGTTGATTACTATGAAGCTTAACATAGAAATGAATTTTTGACAGAATTAAAACTCTTAATATACATCTAATTAATTTAATGAAGTACTTTATAACACCACAAAAAATAACACAAAACATATGATTTGTTATACTTTCAAAAGTTTTGCCAATAAGTTACTTATTCTGGTTCCACTAAAATCCTTAAGAACATGCACAAAGGGGGCACGTGCATCACAGTAAGTGATGCAGGAGTAACAATAATATATCCCTATCCAGTCACATCTCTATGTGACAAATCTATGGCGACTAATAAACTTGAAAAAAATTAAATAGGATAAATCCTAATTATCTTAACCGTACAACAGAAAATTACGTACAGCCATACATTTCAATATATTATACTCTCCCTCATATAGCAATGCTGAGATAAATATACTTTAATACAAAGTATAAAGTTGGATAATCAAATTCATGAATTAATCAGAATAAATATATCTGTAGCATAAAAAAGGTAATTTTAGGCATTTAAGGTCTAGGACAGGGGTCTCCAAACTACGGCCTGTGAGCACCTTTTGTACTTTTGTCCCGCAAATGTATTTTTGAAAATACTATTAAAAAAATCATAAATTTCTAATTTTGTTTACAAAATAAAAAAATTTAGCAAATAGTTCTAGCACGTTTGCTTAATAATAACTGCCTTATACATTTTATGATATTAAGTACATAAACCACCCTTGAAAAATGGGATAACCAGAGGTGGGCAAATCGTATCCATTTTAATAATTACATAAATGGTTTTTGAACAATAATTGAGCGAATAAATATGATTTATACTGATGGCTATTTCATTCGTTTGAAAATGGTTTGATTACAATATAAGAGACCATTAGATAAAAAAACCTTACTAGCGTTACCTGTGAATCTGAGAGATTCATGCATCAAGAATCATTTAGAGATGGGCCAACAACTGGTGAGGAGGGCAAGTACAAAAAAAAAAAAAAAAAGATAAACACAATAACCCAATTACAAAATGAAAGTGAACAGGTTATTAATCTATTTTAGCAAGAGTGAGAAAACCTAACTGTATTTTATGAATCTCTTAAGAACTAAGGTTGGATTCAAACATGACCATTGGGTCCAGAACTGAGGAAATTTTTTATGTAATTAATCAAGTCATTTTCATGGTATTGCAAAGTGGAGTGTCCTTCTTTAACTATTTGCAGTATATTTAGTTCGAGAGAAAGTGCAAAAAAAAATTAACATTATATCGTGTAACTTTTGAAAGTATTTTTTAAATATTTATATTTAAAAAATGAATTTACCGGCATCATTGCAAGGAGAATAATGCTATGGGCGGACTCTCAGAATCTAATACCCGAAGAGCAAGCAGGATTCAGGAACGGAAGAGGCTGCATTGGAGGCTGCGCTAATTGGAATAACGTTTAAAACAGAAAATATCTATGGAAAATATCTATATGCCACCTTCATCGACTTCAAAAAAGCTTTCGATTCAATTAATCATGGACTTCTTTGGAGAAAGCTTATTACCTTAGGAGTCAGAAGAAAAATCATCAAAATTATTAAAATGCTATACGATAATGCCTCAACCCAAATTTCGGTTAACGGACAACTTTCAGAAGATATTAACATCACCTTAGGACTTTTACAAGGCGAAAGTCTGAGCCCAACCTTGTTTTTGTTATTTATCTCTGACATAGTGAAATACTTTCATGACAAAGGAGCAGCAGGGGTAAGCATAGATACCTCACACGAGGTATCAATGCTCCTTCTAGCTGATGATATTATTCTCTTAAGTAATAGTTGGCATGGAGCACAAAAGAACATCAAAATATTACAAGAGTATTGCAGTAACAATTCTCTTACGTTAAATGTAGACAAGTCTAAAACTCTTGTTTTCCACAAATCTCCACGGCTTAAGCTGCTCAAACCGTTGTATTGGCATGAGAAGATATTAGAGTATACAAAAAGGTATACTTATTTGGGAGTTCCCTTCACAACGTCAGGAAAATTTAAACAAGCATGTGAGCATTTTATTCAGAAGTCATCAGTGGCATCTGCGAGAGTCATAGAAATACTAAAAAAAGGGAAAAGTGACTCCTGGGAAAGTAAAAAATTGTTATTTGACTCCATGGTCTCATCAACACTGCTTTATGCTTCTGAAATATGGAGCCCCAATTATCTTGAGGCAATCGAAACGGTCCAACATAAATTTTTAAAGCAACTGTTTGGTTGGCCCAGAAATACTCCAAACTACATAGTCCGCTTCGAAACAGGAAGAGAACCATTAAGCATGAATGTAATAAAAAAGATGATAAATCTATGGATCAAGCTGGAGTTCATACCAGAAAAGCGACTCCCAAAACTTTGTTTTAACAGACTTAAATCTTTAGATAAGGATAAGCCTGACATAGACTTCAATTGGGTGTCTCAATTTAGAGCAATAGCCGAGCTTAATGCCTTTGCAGAAGAACTTTCTGTTCACCACACAAACGGACTTCTTCGATACAAAGACGACATCCTTGAAAAAGCACACAACTATTATTTCTCAGCCGACATTCAAAGAACTTTAAACTCAACTAACTACCCTTTATACAGAATGTTATGCAGTTACAATGCTCCCGATCCCGAAGCGTACCTTACATTTAAAGTTCATATAAAGAAATTGAGATGTGTTAGTCAATTAAGAGTTGCAAATCCAGAACAAATCAGAATTTATGCAAAAACCACAACTTTTTCGATTGAGTCTCAAGAAATTTGTATATTATGCAGTCAATTTATCCACAATAGTCTACATCATATTCTCCTTCACTGCCCAGCATACAATGAATATAGACAAAAATTCCTCCATAACTTCATCTCAGAATCTTCTGATAACCACAACATCGAAACTATATTGAATATCGATTGTATAGATAAGTTGAATAAAGTTTACTATTATATGATGGGAGTACACAAAGTACATTCACAAAATTATTGATCATAGCCCATGTTATATTAAGTGTTTGTTTTTAGTTTATGTAAAAGTAATATTTTGTTTGTATATATACATATTTTAATTTTTTATTGTTCTATCATAGTAACAGGTTCATTTAACTATCATTATGCAGTAATCGTTTTATGTTTTTAACTTTTATTGTTTTTCCTGCTTTGTAAAACCCATTATAAACGGAAAATATTGTAAAGTTTATTTATATTTAAATGATATGTAATGTTATGTAAATTTGTAAAACCATATTATTGTACAATAGCCAAGCTAGGCTCTATTTGTATGGGGAACCCCCCAAAAACAAATAAAATATCTATCTATCTATCTATCTATTTAAAAAATGAGTCGGCCAGACTTTTAAAAAATGGCCCCCCAAAAACAAATAAAATATCTATCTATCTATTTAAAAAATGAGTCGGCCAGTCAGATCTTGTTACCTGTAAAATTGGCAGCAGATTTAGAGAATATTAGGCCAGTAACTTGGGAATCGAAACAATATTATAATTATAATTAATGAGATTTATGTAATTATGATTTATATTGACAACTATTTCCAGTTGTGGTTTAAGTTTGCTAGTCGAAATTCTTAGAAATGACTTCAAATGTTCATCAGTTAATTTGCTTATGTAAATATTTTTTGAATTTTTCATTTTGGAAAATTTTTTATCGCACAGATATGTAGTACTGAAAGTGGAAAAGATGAAACTAGCAAAGTTATGCAACTGATGAATCTGTGTAAGTGGAAGGAAGACTCTGGTAAAATTCTGTTAGTGACGACGTTTAGTATTTTTTTTTCTAAGTGTATCATTAGACTGCATATCAGTTTGAGAGGCAATAGTTTTTACATCAACAATGAAAGGATTTTGAAAAATCTTGATGTCATTTGCTATTTCACTAAATTATGAAAAACGGGAAAGAAAAATTGATCTTTAAAGAACTTAAAACTTCCGTTTAAATTTTAATTTTAAAATACTTTATTCTATTAAATATATACAAAATCATAACAAGCAAACCATTTCATTACTAAACCATGTTTCAGAATTTGACTTTCAATTCCTCAACAAGAAAGGAGCAGTAAATCTATCAAGAATTCTCAAAATTAATCAATATATTAGTATAAATATATCAAAAAAACATATACATTAAGAAACAGAAAATACCGCCTTGTTTTATCGGTTGTGAAAAATCATTTTCAATTTTGGTTTGGTTCCATAAGAAATTGATAATGATTTAGATTTAGTAAAAAAATATCTGTTTCCACAGAATTTCAAATGAAAAATTAATACAATGATGTCTTAATTATTTCTACTGGAAACATCGATGTTTCTACGTGAAGAGAAACATCTATCTTAGACCTTAAATGTTATTAAATAACGATATTTTTTGTCACGTCATGCAGCCTACGAGGGAGGCTTACTGGAAGTTTCAATGTTGTCCACAGGCTAAAAAGTTTGGAAATCCCTAGTCTAGGACAACTAAAAAATACAAAATTGAAGAGAAAATTAAAGCAAGGTTGATGAAATGCTTGTTATTTTTCTGTTGTAAAACTACTTAGCTCGCACATTATTTTTGGAAACTAAAAAATAGGATTTTTAAAACTTTTATCCTTTCTAGAGTTCTTTATGAATGAAAAACGTGACCACTTCCATAAAAAAGTAACACCCTAAGGTTTTTGAAAATAATGTATAGCATAGAATGTTAGGAACGGAGAAGGACGAGTCAACCACAGAAATTATACTGTTACACAACACTGAATCACATGAATTGTACTCTGTAGATACAATATAAATATCGGTAGGGAGGGTTGCTCAAATAAATCTGTAAAGAGAAACCAGAAGTCATGACATAGGAAGAGAAGTAATGAAAATGTGAGACCTAAATCATAGAATTGGAAGAGATTAATGAATTTGTATAGACTTTGATCTGTTGATAGGCAATATATAGCTCAATGATTTATATTTTATTTCAATGGCTGAACATTTTTCATCAAACTTTCCTTCATGTCATCTAAGCTATACATCAGCGAGAAATTAAATCGCTTAATTATTCAATTAAGCCACTCCCGACCATCTTTTTACTCATTAATATACCACGGTCAACCATCAAGTATTCAATATTTCTATTTTCAGTTGTTTCCTCCCCATAAAGTCCCATTGCACCATGAAATCTTCTTAAATCTCTTCCAATTCTATCATTTAGGGCTCCCATTTTCATTACTTTTCTTTCTATTTCATGACTTCCACTGGTTTCTCTTTACAGTTTAGTATAAAATTAATCTTTGTCAAATATATCGGCATCCTCTGTACTGTAGGTGCTTACACATGTATTTGAGCAGCCCTCCCAACTGACATTTATATTGTATCTATAAGTACAATTCATGTGATTCAGCGTTATGTAACAGTATAATGTCTCTGGTTGACTCATCCTTCTTCGTTTTTAATATTCTACGCTATACGTTATTTTCAGAAACCAAAGGATGTTACTTATCTTATGGAAGTGGTCAAGTTTTGCATTAATAAAGAACTCTAGAAAGGATAAAATTTCTATTTTTAGTCTCAAAAAATGAGGTGTGAGCTAAGTAGTTTTACAACAGAAAAATGACAAGTGCTTCATCAACCTTGCTTTAATTTTGTTTTTTTCCAGTTATCCTACACCATAAGTACAGAAACTTCTCTATGTATATATATACTAATAGAGAATGTAAGGCTCTACAACTTCTTTTAAATGAATTTCTTTCACTGATGTATAGCTTATGTGTAGCTCGAAAATGGTAGAGAATTCGGGAAAAATCTATAGAATAATAGTTTTACACAATTTTATAAACTTTCATATATTATTCGACAATTTTTCCCTGCAACTCACCGTTTTCGAGATATAGTGGAAACTTGCAAATTGTGACATCCTAAGCAACCTGAACAAGTTTCTGAA